TTATTTTCTCTGCAGTCTCTTTTTTCCCTCAGTCTACTGTTTGATATGTTTGCCTCTTGTGTTTGGTATGTGGACTATTTTGGGGGAATGTGCCCTTATTTTCTATTGGGAACCCAAAGAAGTTTCTATACTTTCCTGCAACAAATCTATGTGCAGGAATGTTTTTGCTTTTTTTTTTGAGGAACTGTTTTTGTCCTCTTATGCTTCAAATTCTGGTCATAGGCATCAGACTGTTGTGTTTCTCCTTCCTTATCCATGAATAGACCTAGTGTTGGCACACGGACATGATACACTGGCTATTTACAGTGTACCACTGACCCTGGCACAATGCCTTCTCATATCTGAGGCCAGGGGCTGAGTTGGTGGCACCGCCAATGGGATATTCCTGGTCTGCGGCCCATCCCAGGAAACTCTTTTTGGCTGACAGTTTTTCTCTCCTCTCACTGTCCATTTCTTTTTCTTTCTTTCTTTCTTTCTTTTTTTTTGAGACGGAGTCTTGCTCTGTTGCCAGGCTGGAATGCAGTGGCGTGATCTCCGCTCACTGCAACCTCCGCCTCCTGGGTTCAACCGGTTCCCCTGGCTCAGCCTCCCAAGTAGCTGGGATTACAGGCACTCGCCACCAAGCCTGGCTATTTTTTTTTTTTTTTTTGTATTTTAGTAGAGATAGGGTTTCACCATGTTGGCCAAGATGGTCTTGATCTCCTGACCTCATGATCTGCCTGCGTTGGCTTCCCAGAGTGCTGGGATTACAGGCATGAGCCACTGTGTCTGGCCTCTTCTCTCACTATCCATTTCTGATAAATAAAAAATAGATGTGGGTCCTGCAGAACCCGAGGCTGGCTCTGACCAGTCTTTCATGGATCCATATACCTGCCTGGTGAGGAGGTTGCATGCCTCATAATGCAGTTAGCCTGGGCATCTGTGCACCAGGCTGAGTTCCTGCCTAGGAGCTGCAGATTTGTGATGAATGTGGAACTAAAGTCATTGGGGAGACCAAGAGACTTGACCTGGGAGTGCTTATGTCATTTGGATGGGATTCCTTGAGGCTTTTGTGGAGGAGCAGTCCATGGGGTCAGGGTGTCTGTGGGTCGCTGTTAGCCAATGTGGTGCTCTTTGTATGAATTAGAAAAAGACGCCTCTTCCTCAATACACTTTACTTCCATGCGTGGGAAAACTCTCCTATCCTGAGTTGGTGAGAGCTGGTGATTTGACAGCCGCCTGCTGGAAAATTATATGGTAAGTACACAAATCTGCTGCAGGACGGTGTGCTCCCTTCCATGTGGCACAGTTGTCACCCCCTGCCTAGCTACCTCTGCAGCCACTTTGGGTCTTGTGGCTGATGTTCACTAGCCACTGACTATACATCTGAATTCCTTCCTGTCAGTAGAAGATCCTTCTGATTCGGGCATATGGCCAACGTTTTATTGTTCATAACTGCTGCTACCCCTTCCCTCCACTTTTATTAGTTTTCATGGGACTTAAGTGAGCATCCAGGCACTGTTGCTGATCTGCCTCCCTGACCCAGAAGACAGTGTTGGCTTTTGGACAAAGATTCTGGATAGTTCTGAAGCTATAGTGCTGTGCACCAGGGTTGAATGGGGGTCCGGAGAGTCCAGCTTTGCTTGTGCTAACAGCTTATGGCAGCTCAGCTTGTGTAGCAGAATGGGTGCCTTGTAATAGATAGCCATCTGTTTTTCAGTTTATGGAAGGCTTCATTTCTTCTGACTACATTCTGACAGGCAGGTGTTACATCTTTTGTGACTCGAAGGTCATGAGGCTGGTTCTTGGGTTTGACTCTGGGAATCATGCTCATTGATCTGCTTTTCTTATTCATGTCAATGAATACCTACATGTGAAGAAAACTCAAGCTGCACAGTAAACCTAAAGGAAGAAGGTAAAAACCACCTCAAATTTCCATGATCCAGGAGTAACTGCTGTGAACCTTCACTTCCCCATCCTGGTCCCATTTCCTGTTTCCATCCTCATCCGGTTTGCTTTTCCAGGATCTTTACTGCTTCCTTTGATGGGGGTAAGGACTCTCCCTAACCACCCCACCTCCTGCGGGAACTGTTACCCCATCCATAGCCAGCATTTGCTAGCCCAAGGGCAAGTTTATGTTTGCAAATGACATTATTCTTCTATAACTAAAAACATAAAGATCCTTTAGTATTAAATAGTCCAGTGTCCTTAGGGCACAATACTTTTGGATTTCAGCCTGCTTCTGCTGTGTGATCTTGGGAAAGTCACTAACCCCTCTGGGCCTCTATCTCTAAAATGAAGAGGCTGAACCTTTCCAGGTGAATGCAGGTGGGGAAGTTAGGCCTATTTAGGGAATAGAGAACAGCCTGTGGGACAAGTTTGTGCCTATTGTTGGTGCAGTTTAGTAGGAATTGTCAGAAGCTGATAGATGACAGATAGATGATAGATGATAGATGGTTGATAGATAGATAGATGGATAAAAGGGAACCAAATACTGTCTCTGTGGCCTGGGCATTTTTGCCAGGCAGGGGGAATCGCATCGGTTGGTGACAGAGTTGTATGGCCCACAGAGGTCAGCTAAGAGATTGGGAGGAGGTTGACGACCTTGTGTGGGAACCGACCTCAGGGGGATGGATGAGGTTGGGGCCCCTTATGGGTCTCGGCGCTTGGCGTTTGGACTCCCCTTCTCTGTGGGTCTAAACTGGCTTCCTTCTGCTGTGGGATTTTGTTAACACTACCCCTTTAGTGATTTTGCATTTTTTTGTTTTGTTTTGTTTTGTTTTCTGCTGACCCTCATTAGCAGAGGTTTTGCTCTTACACACTGCATTGTCCCAGTGACTTCTTATATGCCAGTCACTGGTGGGTAAATGCCAGAGGGACACTGAGGACTCATCAGGAGGGCTCAGCCTCCTCTCAGAGAGGAAGCCAAGGTGGCCAGATTACAATTTGTTTTTTTCTGGTAAATGTCATGGATAGGAAATGTTATTTGTGAGTCTCAAATATCCACCAAGGGCAAAGGGTGCCCTGAAGACAAACAGGAATTGAGTGCTCATTTCCTTGGCCCTGAAGTGATGCGTTGCCTCTGTGATGTCACAGTTGGCCCCCTACAACCTAGTTCAGCCTAGCACAGTATATGACAGTGGTCACCGGCTTTTTACCTGGGCAGGATAGCACCTGCACATCAGGGAAAACAGACCAAGCTCTCACAAGGGCAATATCATCCTTTGGAATTTGTTTACTTTTAGTTACATACTGGTCAGGAGCTTTTAAGTGAATAAGACCATTTTCCCAATGAGCAGTGTCATAGACATTGAGGACTCTCTTAAATCAGAAGATGAATGAATGGATTGAATCTTTGCTGGGATAATATGCAAACCAGCTAATATGTGCCTTACCTGGACATCCCAACAGGTAATAAATGGGAAAATGTTAAAGGGGAGTAGTTGGGGAAGAACAATGAACTTGGAAAAGCCATTCTCATCAGCACAGAAGCACTGAAAGAAGGTGTAGATCTTCATGGTGAAAAGTGGGAAGCAAGGAGTGATGACTGACAAAGACCTAATGTCTAACGTCTAATGTGTGCTGGGGACAGTCGGAAAAGCCTGTGGGTACAGAGAAAAGTAAGACATTACAAGTCCTTGTGTATATTTTGGAGACAGAGTCCCTAAGCTCACCTGGTCAGTAAGTGTCTCTTGAATGAGTGAATTGGACAGTGTGGACTCCATTCTGCAAAAAGCTTGATTGGAGGCAAGTGGAAAGGACCTTGGAAAATTAACCAAAATACAATGAAGCTCCTTCCTAAATACCGATGGCTAAAGAACTTCAACTTGTCACTTTTGTATGAAACACTTCATTGGACCGAATTGTCCTCTAAATTTAATGTTAGCATTCCTTCAAGAGTCTTGGCTTTCTTTTTTTGCCTGCACTGTCTGCATTACAGTGCAGTAAGGCAGACTTTTCTTGTGAAATGATATAGGTAAGATTTAGAGGATCTGAACACCTCTCTGCTTTGGAATTCGTGGTAGCTAAAGTGTAAATAGATTCACACATCTGACAACCAAAGTCAGAAATTCACGTGGTCTTGCACTGTTCTGGTGTACAAGTTGGTTTCAGAAGGGGCTTGGTGTTTGAAAGGTGCTGTAAGGAGTGGAAGAATCAATGCCATCTTCAGATGTTTGTTCCAAGTCACAAGCAAACCCTGCTTGAAATCTGCTGGCAAGGCTTTGAGTGACACAGAGCCTGACTTGTTCACTTCATGTTTGTCCAGCTTCCATGGCATGCGGAAGAAGTTGGTCGGCTTGGGAATATGCTGAATCAAGCCACATAACCAACCAATGAGAGGGGGCTCAAGCTTCTTTCAAGCCCGGCAAACCTTTAGTTGTTAGAAGCCCATACTTCCTATGTAGTGGTTTAGGAAGGACACAGACTTACCTGTAGGTTTCTTGCCAAAAAATAGAATTGTGATCTGATCAATCTTCCAACTATTTAATTTATAGAAAGTATGGGCCAGCGCGGTGGCTCATGCCTGTAATCCCAGCACTTTGGGAGGCCTAGGCTGGCGGGTCACGAGGTCAGGAGATCAAGACTGAGACCATCCTGGCCAAGAAGGTGAAACCCCCATCTCTACTAAAAATACAAAAATTAGCCGAGTGTGGTGGCACGCACCTGTAATCCCAGCTACTCAGGAGGCTGAGGCAGGAGACTGCTTGAACCTGGGAATCGGAGGTTGCAGTGAGCCAAGATTGCCACTGCACTCCAGCCTGATGATACAGCAAGACTCCTTCTCAAAAAAAAAAAAAAAAAAAAAGTATGGAAGATAGGGGTTCATATCAAACAACACTATGGGAATGAAATCCACTGGATTCAGAATGTGGAAATTCTAAAAGAGGCCACATTTCTTCAGTAAATACATGGGAAAAAAAAGACGGGGGGGAAGTGGTGTTAATGAAAGAAACTTTGAAGGGACTGTAGCAGATGCAATTGATGTTCTGCCTACCTTCACTCCACTTCTACCTCTACAGCTTGCTGGAGGCTGTGTGCCAGGAACACCTGTGACCCTTTCCCCGAGGGCATTTATTCTTTCCCCAAGATTACACATGGTAAGTGGAGCAGAGTGCTGGAGAATTAATGACCTAGAGAGTTAATGTCTCTGGAAGCAGTGCTGGGCCAAAGATGGGTGGAGAGCTGGTGGACAAATACCCCAGCTTCCTTCCCTCTACCCCCAGGGTTGGGAAAACTCTCAGTGATGCCCCACACTGTTTTCCAGAGTTGCCCAGAGAGACTGAGCTTCATTTGCCCCCAGCGGTAATGCACCCTTTGTTGGTGCTCCTCCCACTGTCTCATTTTCTGGTTCCCCTACCAGTTTCACTGGGGTCATCTCCCAAATAAACCATTTGCACTGAAATCATTGCCTCCGGGTCAGTTTCTAGGAGAAACCAAAGTGGGACAGGGACAAATCAATCCAGTGCAACAAGTGAACCTTATTTTCATCTGGATTCAAACAACCCATCTGTCAAAAGGCATTTATGAGTTTAATACGGAAACAGGATCATAGATGGAATATTAGATGATTTTAAAGAATTGTTCTTTAATTTCTTTAGGTTTGATTGTTGGTTCTTGGTTATTTTTTTAAAAAAGAGTGCTTATCTGCTAGAGATCCATGTTGCAGTATTTACAAATGAAATGATAACGATGTCCGTGATTTGCTTTAAAATAATCCAGTGGTGGTGGTGGTGGTGGTGGTGGAGGGGCACCAGGGAGGGCAAAACTTTAATAACTGTTGAAGCTGGGTGATGGCGACATGGCGGTTCATTACAAAGGTTTTGTGGTATATTTAAAATCTTTCATAGTAAAATGTTAAACAAAAAAAACACATGTACACCTTTCTGGTCTCCCTCCTCTGAGGCAAGATTAAATGATCCTCTTTCCAGCCATGTCACTGTGACACACCAGCTCTGTCTTGGGGGATCCGTGGCTCAGCAAGTGAGTCCTTAGTGTCTTAGTTCATGGCCCTCCTCCATGCTGGTGGCCTTCACCTCCTCCATTACATCCACCCATCCCATAGCCAGACTGGAGCTTTGGCACCACCCAGACCTGCTTTAACCTGAGTTCTTAAATTCCATCCTGTGAGCTCCTGCCCTGAGCGATTCCTCTGGTTCTGTTGCAGCAACTTTCCAATTTGTAACCCCCCATGTAATCATAACCCATGTGGTCTTGACTGTTAAGTACCAGAACTGCTGGGCGGCAGGGAGGGTAAGCCTGGAGACCAGAGGTCAGGCCAGGTTGTGGGGCTTCTCCTGGAAAGAGTCTTCAGCAATTCTAGTGGGATATCCAAGAGGATGTTGTGACTTTGGCCTTGGCCAAACACCCCAGGGGTATTATAATGGGGGCAGCCACTGGGAGAGGGAGTGCCACCATGGCTCTAAGAGGAAGAATAGAAACTTCAATTGGGAGGGATCCAATAGGGGAAGAGTTCAGTTCTCAGGGAGAGAGGATTGGAGAAGGCTTGAGTTGTTGTTAGGGCATTAGCCAGATGGCCAGGACTTTTCCAGAGGGAAGCTGGGATATAATCAGGAAACTAGGGCAGAAGCCTAATTCTGCATACTGGATGCATGGGCCAGGTTTGGGTGGGTCTCCTGCCCAAGGCTTGCTGCAGCTATGCCAGGCTTTGGGTGGCAGGAGGAATAGCAGAGCTCAGCCACTGGAGGGAATGAGCCTGTGCCCACGGGGCTAGTTTCTCATGGGCTCGGTCACTGGAACAGGTTGAGTGAGGGTGACCATGGAGAACCTGCAGCCTGAAGATCTTTTATATTTGGCTTATTTATTGAGAGGTCTCAGCTCTGCACATACATAGGAATTGGTTTTATTTTTGCTAATCACTGCTTTCCACTGTGCTGAAGCAAATTCTTCTCTGCTTCTGTGGAGTAGGACTCTTGAGAATCCTTTGACTGGAGCCACGTATTTCCTGCCATGTTTAAGTTTTAAAACCTTTTTATTTCTGTATGACTTAGTCCCTTTTTTTTTTTTTTGAGGTGAGTCTTTCTCTCTTTCTCTGTCACCCAGGCTGGAGTGCAATGGTGCCATCTTGGCTCACTGTAACCTCTGACTCCCAGGTTCAGTGATTCTCCTGCCTCAGTCTCCTAAGTACCTGGGACAACAGGCCCGTGCCACCGTGTCTGGCTAATTTTTGTACTTTTAGTAGAGACAGGGTTTCGCCATGTTGGCCAGGCTGGTCTCGAACTCCTGGCCTCAAGTGACTCGCCTGCCTCAGCCTCCCAAAGTGCGGGGATTACAGATGTGACCCACCATACCTGGCCCCTTTTTGTTTTGAAAACATCAGTTTCTACCCTGATTGACAGTTTGTCCTCAGCAGCATGGGCAAAGATGGGATCCTGGCTGCTGGTAGCGGAAGAGGGTGCTGTGGTCAGGCTGTGTGCACCTCCTCCCTCTCCCTTTTCCAGATGCTCCTTCCCTTGGTGCTGGGCACAGGAAGGACAGCTGGAGAGGCTTAGTTCTATGTGTCTCCCACCTGCGGAGGGTGTGTTGGGGTTCCTAGTCTTGCTCTGATCCTAGTCTTGCTCTGATCCCCCCAGTTCTCCTGGTGTGGCATCTGTGTCTTCCTGTGGTCCCATCTGTGGTATATAGTCCCACCTTCTTTTCCTGGTGCTGTTTCCCTTACCCTTGAAGCTGTCTGGACAGGCCATGGCTCCTCTCCTGCTGCTCTCCCAACCTGCACCTTCTTGTTGACTCAGGGAAACCACTGGAGTCTTCTTTCATACCCTCTGAGGGCCATAGAGAATGGTATTCCTTCCCTGAAGGCAACTCTAGTCTTTGCAAGTGGTTTTCTTGGAGTCCCTCCGAATTGGCTTTGAGAAAGGGAAAGCATCCTCATCAGTTTCCTATGAGAATGTGAGGGAATAAGAAAAGTAGCTAATAGTTCAGGTGTGGTGGCTCATGCCTGTAATCTCAGCACTTTGGGAGGCCGAGGTGGGCGGATCACTTGAGGTCAGGAATTCACGACCAGGCTGGCCAAAATGGTAAAACCCCGTCTCTTCTAAAAATACAAAGAAGTTAGCTTGGCGTGGTGGTGCGTACCTGAATTCGTAAGTACTTGGGAGGCTGAGGCAGGAGAATCGCTTGAACCCAGGAGGCGGACAGTGAACCAAGATCACGCCACTGCACTCCAGCCTGGGTGACAGACTGAGACTTGGTCTCAAAAAAAAAAAAAAAGTGTTGTGTTAAACATCTTTTTCCATGTTAAGATTGTCTTTCTGTATTTAGGAATGGACTTTCTTTATGATATACTCCACTCTGAGATGTAAAATTTGTACATCAAAGGATTTGAACAGTTCTAAGTACAAATTTTTATATGTGTGTGTGTTTGTGTGTGTGTATGTGTAGTACAGTTTTAATTGCTCCCATGATACATAGTCATGAGAGAAAAGCCTTGTTAAAAAAAAAAAAAAAAGGGAGCGGGGAGAAGAAAGGAGGCAAAGAAACATGGATATAGATTTGTGTCTTCCATTTACCTTGAATTGAATTTAATGTCATTTAAAAACCCATTGGCCAGGTACAGTAGCTCATGCCTGTAATCCCAGCACTTTGGGAGACCGGGGCGGGCGGATCACTTGAGGCCAGGAATTGGAGACCAGCCTGGCCAACATTGCAAAATCCCGTCTCTACTAAAAATACAAAAATTAGCTGGGCATGGTGGTGTGTGTGCCTGTAGTCTCAGCTGCTCGGGATGCTGAGGTGGGAGAATCGCTTGAACCCAGGAAGTGGAGGTTGCAGTGACCTGAGATTGTGCCACTGCACTCCAGCCTGGGCAACAGAGTGAGATTATGTCTCAAAAAAAAAAAAAAAAGAAAAAGAAAAATAGCTAATATTTACATAGTGCAGTTGTAAGAATGTTAAATATTTTAATTGGTTTAATCTTTGTGATAACCAATTCGAGTAGACATTATTCTCATTTTATAAATGAGGAATCCGAGGACCAGAGTGGATGTATATATATAGCCCTACATCACATGGTTTATAAGTTGGCAGATCTGGGACTTGAACCTTGTCTTTCTGGCTTAGGTGTTACATGTCACTCTTGTCACACTGAAGGGTCCTTCTTTTCCTCTCTTTATGTTGATTTCCTCTCTTATATTGATTGAGTGGGAGGCAGGGGAGTGGTAAGAGCAGGGGACCAGTTTTGACACCTCTTGGAAAGTTGTGCTGTAGTAGCTGGCATCATGGCTAGAAACTTGTCGGTGACTCTGACTGTGGACTGTTGTGAGCTTTCAGTCATTAGCTTCGGACCTTAACTGTGATTCCAGGTCAGGAGGAAAGTTCCACTCAACTTGCTATTTGTCCTGTAGCTCAGCAGTATTGACAGGCCTGGCTCTTTTCCTGAAGCTCTTTTCCCCAAGCTGGATATCTTAGGACTTCTCTTCCTTTCCTGCCTGCCCAGATCCCATGCAGGGCAGCTCCCTTTCTCACAGACCCCTGCAAACTGCTCCCTCCACTATCTTTCCTATGTCTTTTGCCAACCTCAAGCCTTGGAGCCCTCTAACATCTGTCTTCTCTCCTATCCAGGGGCTGCCAGGAACTGCTGGAGAAAATCTTATAATTGTGCTAATGTTACATATTTATGGCTTCAGCTTCAAGATAAGTCATTAATCCTTTATTATGTTCTTGAATGGCTTCCTCTTCCACTCTTTGTCATGGCTCTTGAAGACCCTTTACAGCCCCAAGACCCCATGGTATTAGTCCTACCTTCTTGCCCATCCCCCCATCTTCATGCTCTCCTTTACTGACACTTACCTTGAGGTTATCTACTGGGTCATCTAGAGCCTATTGTTCAAGGAATGCAGTCTTGCAAGCCTACTCTGGACCTCTGGACCTGAGCAGCTGACCTCTTCTTCCACGCCCCCCTTCTCGCTATCTCTTTTATCAATAAATACAGAAAGCTTTGTAAAGCTCAGGGCCCTTCTCCACTAGAGGCAAGGTGCCCCCGACCCCTTCTTCCAAACATATTTTTTTGTCTCTTATCTTTATTCCCACATTCGAACTCCTTTGTTCAGTCCCCCAAGGTCCATGCAGGTTACAATTAAGC